CTAAAGCCCATTCTACATTAGTCGCAAATAGCAAAGTCGTAAAGAAATTGACTAATCATAGTCGATTGTTCTTCTTGCGATCGAAAAATAATCAATTACGATTGGTCAATTTCTTTGCGATCTTGCGATTGCGACTAATGTAGAATGGGCTTTAGGGGCGCCGCACACGAATTGACATAACAGTAACGTAAGACGTACTGTAAAAATGGATTAATTACAATTGAATATTCACAAAAATGGCAAACCTTACGGTTTGACTCAAAGTGATTGGTCAATTCTTACGATACGTCTTACGTTGCTGTTATGTCAATTCGTGTGCGGTGCCCTTTAAGCATGGTCTACAATGAGAACTTAAGCCATAAAATTTAAGCTTTAAGTCGTAAGAAGTTGACCACTCACAGTCAATTATAAGAAAAATAATTTCTTACGGCTTAGAGCTTAAAGCTTAAATTTTATGGCTTAGGTTCTCATTGTAGATCACTCTTTAGAGGCTTTCTACAATAAGCAATAAGTTTTAAGTCGCAATAAAATTGACCAATTACAGTGGATTATTCTTCTAATAGTCGACTATAATTGGTCAATTTTATTATGACTTAAGATTTATTGCTTATTGTAGAATGAGCTTTGCGGAAAGCAGCACATTAATTGTTTATCGTGTGCAAACTTTCGTCGCGTGACAAGCGTTACCGCGTTCTGTGTACAGAAGCCTATAGTAAAAAAGTAACGATACAAGTAACGATGAATTTCGTTACTCGTTACTAAAGAAAATGTAACGCCGTTACTTTTTCGTTACTGATACAAAGTATCCAAATCGTTATTAAAAAAAAATAACGAAATAGTAACGTCGTTACAAGTAACACGTTACTTCCCAACCCTGGGTAGTAACTAGTTAGAAAGTTAAAAGTTAAATTAAAAAGTTAAAAAGTTAAATAGCTTTAACTTAACTTAGTTATATTTTTACACTCTTAACTTTTAACTTAACTTAGTTATATTTTATCGGTAACTATTAACTTTTAATTCAATTATCTTGAAGTTAACCATACCATAAAAGTGTCGTGAGACGTCGAAAAGCTGTTTAGTGCAAGAGGACTTATTTTCGACAATCTTCGAGAAAAAATATCCGATAAAAATTTCGAAAAAACTTTATTACTTAAATTTAATAAGTATCTGTAAATAAAATATGTTTCCAAAGATGTATATTTGTTTTTTCCGTTATTTGTAAAACTGAAACCCTGAAGTCACGAAATTAAACAAATTTAACTTTTAGCTTTTTAATTACTTTTTTTTATTAACTTAACCTTTAATACCAATTAATTTCATTATGAGTTAACTTTAACTTAACTAAGTTAAATTTTCAAAGCCATTAACTTTAATTTAACTTAGTTAAAAAAAAAGTTAACTTACCCAACCCTGAGTTTGAAGTGATTAGGGATAACAAGTAATGAAGTTTGGGGTTATTTTTTGAGATTATGTTTACTTTTTTCAAATTTTTGGCAGTGAGATATTATAGTAGAACTATTCACGAGTATTTTAAAAAAAGTCATCAAAATCGATACAGATTTGTGATGTAGGAAGAATTTTGTCCACCAAATGTGTTTTTTGGCACACTGTGCGACGGCTGGAATCAAACTCGAGTCTTCCGCTTGTCAGACAAGCGTTCTTACCACTGAGCTATCCAGGTTACCCTTTAGTGATCTCTTCCATTTTCCCATAAAGAACATTGGTATCGTCCGTTTTTCGGTACTAGCACAATATTGACCGAATATTCTCTATTGGCAAATTGTATACGATTCTTACTTGGGTATTCAGTACTGATTCTACGAATAGAGCCAGTACTAATAATACAGCTTTTTTAATACTGGGCCAGTACTGAAAACGACAAACACTTTTCGGTAACGTCCGTACACGTACGGTACGACCAAGGTTGGAAAGTAACTCGTTACTTGTAACAAAGTTACAGTTACAGTTACATTTTTTCGATAACTGTAACTTAATTTAGTTACTTTTTCCCCACCTGTAACTGTAACTTAACTTAGTTACTTATTTTTAGTAACTTGTAACTTTTTAAGTTACTTTAATAGTTATTTTAATAGTTAAATGGAAAACGTAAAATAAAATTAAAATTATATAGTAATCGTATATTAATAAATTTATCAACATATTTATGGAGCATGTGATTAAATTCTTTTACCTCTACAAAATTATTATTAAATTTTTATTATGTTATGTACAGATTTGAAATTTGTTAAGTGGATAAACTAATTAATGTGATAGATATTATTTATAAAATTCAATTCTTACATTTTAGTAAAGCTTAATATGTAAGATTTTTGTATTTACAATAATAATTTACAATTATTTCAAGAAAGTAACTTAAAAGTAACGATTCGTTACTTTTTTAGTAACTGTAACTGTAACGAGTTACTTTTTATAACTAGTAACATATAACTGTAACTAGTTACATTTCCAGCAAGGGAAACTGTAACTGTAACTAGTTACTTTTAAAAAGTAACTTTCCCAACCCTGAGTACGACTATTCAATACCTAACCTTAGTACGGAGCCAGTACCAATAATATAAAAATGAATCAATTTGAGTCATCGGTTTAATAGGAGGGGTTTGGGAATATATATATATATATATATATATATATATATATATATATATATATATATATATATATATATA